TGTTTTACAGCTTTGATGTTTCTAGCAGTCACCTAAGGGGATATATAAAGACCAGTGCTATGTGTATAGTTAATTAGGGCTCAATGGTTTATTCAAAATTAATAAATAACCAGACGGCATATTATTATAGATGTGAAGGAAAAAAAGTATTACTCAACTTCTTAATTTGTTTTCCCCTATTTGTAACCATGATGTACTGTATGTGTACATCGGGCAGAGGTGATTCACTGACATCTGTCCACTGGCCTTATTGATCACCTCTCTTACCAGCCCTGTCTTAGATCAAGACAGTCCAAACAGCTGCCTGTGCAACTATATTTACTTCCTTATTAATCAAGTTCTTACTTCTCTCTTCTCCTCTTGGTCTTTTTATTTGCCCAATGTGTCACTGTTTGGTTTTGTCTGTGTGTTTAATACTCATCATTTATAACTATATTGCATATATGCTATACAAAGCCCATATTTCAAATCGTCTCACCAGTATTGAAAGATGTTACCTCCTTCTTGTGGCAGAATTTCACAGTCCCCACTGTGTAATGTCTTTGGGCTGTCTGCTGTCTCTGGAGACAAACCTACAAAGTGGTAATATGGTCATAAAGAGCAAAGGCAAGGATGGGAACAGGCTGAAGAAATGTGCTTCTGACTATTATTCAGCATGAAAGCAAGAACAGAGTTAGCGATGGAGAAAGAAAGGGATTCCCCCTCATTAAAACCACTCCCAATTAGGCTGATTATTTAAAGTGTTGGCTGCTGCTGCTGCTGGCTTTAACATCAGGATGCTGCGGTCAACCGGGCTGTAAATGACGCATGGTGAGACGGGAGGAAATGCTTTGCTACACACTCTGTGCGTGCGACCATGTGCATGTGTGTGTATTTATTTCCACTTGTTCACCTGGCTGTGCATGGTAAACGTCTGGATTTACATCTGTATGGATGTAGGCATTCGGCTCTACTTTGCTAAATGTGCCTATGTGTGACTGCACTTAACCTAAATGTGTGTTCATGAAAGATTTTCATCTTAACAACCCAGTTTGGGAGTTCCCTTGAACTGTGTAATAAATCGTAGCCATGAAAATAAACCCATTGTCCACAGTTGAGTAAGTAATATCCAAGCTCTGTCTGTGCTACGGCACCAGGAAATATTACCAGGTAAGCTGCCAACTTGTATCAACAATGTCTTTCCTGAAAGAAATGAGTCATCCCAGTTTAACTTTTACCCCAGATTGTCTTATGCAATAGAAGTTGTCTTTCTTTGGAACCCCATGTTGTGTTATTGCACTTTAATGTTGAATAAGATGTTCCTTAGTCAGCTGACCAAGCCTGGAAAGATTTGAGTATCCTTGTGTGTCATATCTTCATCACATCATAGCTCACTTTCTCTCTCATATCCTCTGTTCTCGTCTCCACACTCTTTCCCACCATCCGTGTCTATATCTATTCATCTCCTCATTTGTCACCTCCTCCCCCAGTCCCCCAATTCATATGCCTTTCCATCTCTCCTTCAACCCCCATTTATTTTTTGCTTTACCCCAAGTGAACCGCAAGCTCCAAGTAGGCTGTCTTTACCTAAAGCTTTCAAATATAAGGAATAAAAAGTTTTATTTTTGGTGTGGTTTTTATGGAAAAATATCGATAATGTAGCCTGCCAATCCAAACACTGTGTAATTTGCCATCTGCTCCATACACATCATGTCATGCACAGTGCGTTTTTGTCTACTGTTATTTCTGGGTGCTAATTCTGAGTTAACAAAGGGTTTACCATGTTTTAAACAGCTTATAGTATCATAGAGGTAAATCCTGAATGTTTGACCATACATTGCCTCTGTTATGCTGTTGGCAGCTTTTTGCTACATGTCTACTTGTTTCCTTTAAAAGAGGTAGCACTGCAGTTTCAATGCACAGTTGTTCTGACTGCCTTTATCTTATGTTGAGACTTAATGGGATTGCTGTCTTCCATGATAATGGTGTCCCTGTTCACGGGACCTTAGGGCTCACTGGACTGTTTGAGTGTGAAAATGATATGAATCACATTTCTTTCGCTGTTCCCAGATCTTATCCTACATTGGCACCTATGGCCAGTTTTGAACCACTGAGTTCTGGGTTGAATTCCTTATTGCTGAAATGTAAAATATCTTGAAGCATGAAGACTTGCTTTCAATTTCTTTCATAACTGCAGCTAAACCTTTCTCCCGATCAGTCCTGAACACCGCTTTGAGCAACGTTAGCCAAATCTAATGTGCAAAACATCATTGGTTTTTTCTCCCATGAACTGTTGGATTAAGGTCAGGACTTTGACTTTGCTTTTCCAAGGCATCATTTTCATCTTCTTTAACCATTTTGTTGCTAAGCATCACATTTCTGCATGACCCACTTTCTTCTGAGATCCTGATATTTCATGTCCTGGCTTCAGGACGTGAAATATCAGAAATAATTGCTCCATCAATGATGGTGAGCCATCCTGGCCCAGATCCACTAAACAGGCCCAAATCAAACCCCATCCCTCTTTGTTTCACAGATAGAATAAGGTTGTTGTGCTGCAGTGCGGTGTTTCCTTTTTACCAAACTAGAGGCTTCTCATTTAAACCAAAAATGCTATCTTTTACACAGGACAGCCTTCTGGGGTGTCCTAATTATCATTAGTGAAATGCAAGTAGAGAGCAGTGTTGTGTTTGGAGAGCTTTGGTTTCCTCATTCAATTCAATTCAATTCAATTTTATTTATATAGCGCCAAATCACAACAAAAGTCGCCTCAAGGCGCTTCATAGATACAGAGAAAAACCCAACAATCATATGACCCCCTATGAGCAAGCACTTTGGCGACAGTGGGAAGGAAAAACTCCCTTTTAAAAGGAAGAAACCTCCGGCAGAACCAGGCTCAGGGAGGGGCGGCCATCTGCTGCGACCGGTTGGGGTGAGAGAAGGAAGACAGGATAAAAGACATGCTGTGGAAGAGAGACAGAGGTTAATAACAGATATGATTCATTGCGATCGTGGCTCAAGAGTTGGGCTCGGACAGTCTCGGTCATTGTGTCCTTGGGCGAGATACTTCACCTACCGCCTACTGGTGATGGCCAGAGGGGCCGATGGCGCGATATGGCAGCCTCGCTTCTGTCAGTCTGCCCCAGGGCAGCTGTGGCTACAGCTGTAGCTGCCTTCACCAGTGTGTGAATGTGAGAGTGAATGAATAGTGGAATTGTAAAGCGCTTTGAGGGTCCCGAAAAGCGCTATATAAATGCAATCCATTATTATTATTATTATTGGTTTGTCTTCCTCATTGATGCTGCATTGATGACCTCTTGCAAAAGAGACTTTTAGTAACTTAGAAGCCACCGGGGATTTCTGTATGATCTCCCACATCACTCTTGGCATGGTTGACCATGCCTGTGAAGGGTAACGATGCTCTGGAATTCCCTTCATGTTGTCTAACTGTGGATCAGTGGATTCCACACTCTTCAGAGAACGTTGTGTAACCTTTTCCAGCCTGGCGAAGTATTGACAGTTTTTTTTTTTCCTGAAGTCCTTAGCGATCTCCTGTGTTTGTGCTATGATTCAACTTCCTCAAAGCCCAGTTAGCGCCCACTCCCACCTGATTGTTCTCCCACCAATTAAAAATTCCCATCTACCGTAAAATCGAATGCTAAAACTAGAGTTTCTCATACTTTTCCACAGAGATGTTGTAATACTGGGTCATTTTCCTTAACAGATAAATGACTGAGTAATATTTTTATGACATTTCATTAATTGTATTCCTTCTTTCTTTGGCTTTTAGGTGTCGTGTGAAAAAACGATGATGTTTTCGGTCACATTTATGAAGAAATATAAAACAGTCGGACAAAGTTCAAAAACTGTTTTCCTGCTAGACGCAGAAACAGGTGTTGCTTTCTTTGACTTTCCCAGACTAACAGCCAAGTCAGCTGGAGTGAGAATGTCTCAAGTTAAAAGACATGTTTGAAGAACCACTTCTCAGGGCATTATTAGTCATCCAGTGTTGAGGTTTCCAAATGGGCTGCCACCACTGTAGCTATAACTGACCTGATCAGCCCTCCCACATCAACAGCTAGTTGTCATGTATAGTGAGTTATGGCAGCAAAACTACAAGTTCAGGAGAGCTTGTGACCACAATGATGCGTCTCAGTTTTAATGGAAAGGACAGATGATGTTTCAAGCTTTCCTTATTAAGCTGGGGCTTTTGCTACCTTTGGGGCTTACAGGATGAGTGGGTGTTTGGCTTTTCTCTCATTGTAACGTGTCTGCTAAACCTTTTACTTTAGCAATTTACAATATAAAGACGAAGATATGCAGTTTCAGATTAGTTTGACCGTTTCAAATACCCCAGTGTGCCTCTGTCCATGAAATGAACTCATGGAGCCTCATTATATTAACTAATGTTTCTGTGTTGTACATTTTACACCCAGATGTTGTCTAATCCCAGTGTTTCTGGTGGCTTAACACTGAATATAGTTTAGCTGGTTATCTGCACACAAAACACGAGGTCCAAGGCATTTACATATGCCTGTTCTGAGCGAAGAGTAATGTTGTTTCCGTCCCCAGAGAGCCAAGTATTTATGCCATTAACATCAGGCGAGCACAATATCCAGGAGGATGTGGTTGGTGTAACTGCATTGTATGTTTTGCTGCTCTGTTATCACAGTGACAGACTGTTGTAATTGACCAGTGCAAAAACATAGAGGCAAGCATTTGTGCAGCTGATACTTGAGGTTCAGTTGTTTATGTCTTTTAATTTCGTCTGGCCCAGTTGCAAATGAACAGTGTTAGTTTTTATACATCGTTAGAGGTATCGATATTTCACTTTGAAACCAGGATTGATTTTCCACTTTTCCCCATTTGTCTGAACCTTTGTCCTTTTTTCCATTGTAGAATTACTGAGCGCCTGCTTCTACTTTACCCACAAACCATTTATCCTTTACCTTCTGTTTTCTCTCTTTAGTTCTGCCCTGTGCTGTGCATGACATTTATTGCTACTTCTTTTGTGTTCCAAGATGCCATTCAGGCCGCCTCTGTGCTGCTCGAGGTAAAAGATGTGTTGGTGAGAACTGGACTAAAGGAGCGGAGCCGTGCACTGTTGGGACCATTTTCCTGCAGCAGTTCCTTAGAGGCTCGTTGGTGTCGCCACAGTGGCAGCCCTGGACCCGAGCCCGGCCCCCCCAAACTGCTACTAGACCTGAATGGAGGCCTCCTGCAGGTTTGTATAGGTTTAATTATTAGGCAGATGGAAATGAGTCTCTCTGAAGAATGCTTTGTAAATATTTTAATGAGCTTCTTCCTGCTCAACACCAGTCTTAATCTCAAGGTAGACCTACCACTAGGGATGGGTACCGGTATCACCGGTTCTGACATAAACGGTAGTAACCAGACCGAAAAGCAGCGCACATTTCGGTGCTTTATTTTCCTGAGCTGTGATACACTTTAGATTCTAGCCAATCATTTTACGTTTCCGAGGATAGTAGGCGGGTCCAGGTACGTACGTTCTTTTAGAGCAGAGCTACAGATTAAAAATGCCCAAGGCGAAGCGGTCAAAGTCTGGCTGTATTTCACAGCAAAATATGCAAACTCAGCAGCCTGCAACAAGTGCTTTAAGGTGATACTGTCAAAGGAAGTAACACCTCGAATCCGATGAAACACCTGGCGACGCATAGCGTTTTTTTTTAAAAGCCGAAAATTGCGCTGTATTTGATAGCTTGCTGCGAGACCTCACACCGAGCGCATCTACTGCGGGTGTGGTGCCTGTTATTGGACCCGGAGTTTGCAACATCCCCCAAAAACCCGAAGAGTAGAGTCCTGGCCCCTAGCCCTGCCAGTGTAGCAGAAATGATGAGGATGATGATGCAGCAGCAGCCGTTCTTCTCTGCGTGAGTAGCTTAATGTTGTTCGTGTGTAATTTACGTTGAGTAGGCTAACCACGTTATTACATTAATGCATGTAAGGTGAACTAGCAAACACCATCATAGCTACATGCGACTGTCTTCTTGTTTGATGGCAGATACTCCCTTCACCCTGGCCAAAAAGGCTAAAATGATCAAAGAAAAAGTGGAAAACAGTAAAACATGAGGTTTTTGGACAAAGTTTTTGTTTTTTCAATTGGTTAAGCACTGCTTCCAGCCAAGAGTGATACCATATATGCCCTATAGCTGCAGAAAAGGCTAACATTGTTATCTTTTTACAAAAAACAGCTGAACATGAGAGGTTTTTGGACCAATTTTGTGTTCTCCATTCTTTAAGCATCGGTTTGAGCACCGTTTAAGCACCGGCACCGTTTCAAAAGTACCGGTTTGGCACCGGTATCGGATAAAACCTAAACGATACCCATCCCTACCTACCACCCACTAAAACAGCCGCTTAACTGTCATTGGTTTCCAAATTAAACCATACAGCATTTATATGCTGACACCCACTCACATCATAGCTTCTCACAATCTGAACACTCCTCTTGAATCTGATATTCCTTTTTAATTCACCATGGCTTCTGTCCTCTTTGGAGTGAAGCGATGACAGTAGAAATTACATGCTGTAATTTCACTGTACATTTGAGTCATATCTACTGGTTAAGTGGTGGAATATTAAAAAGCTATTAATAGAGGCTGGGAAGTGGGGGAGAATATGTGTGGCTTTTTTCCTGTCACAAGTTACATAATGCCCACACTGAAAAGTCCCTCTTCAATGTGACTGACTGAGCACATTATTACAAGTGTATTATTCCACATTACTCGCTCAGGGGGAACCCCCTGACCCCTTTTATTCAATGATTCTCTAATGCTCTTATTGCGTGCCCACAAACAGAAACATCACTCGCAACTCAACACTTAATACGTAATCATACATTTCCCTCTGCAAATATTGGCATTTGTGGTGTTTTAATCAAGTGCTGTACGAAAACCACCGGAATTCCCTCAGATTCCTTCTTTTCGTGCTCTCTTTCCGAAAACTTGGGGGGAAAAAAAATCCCCAAATTTTCCTGTTTTTAAGAGTTTAGTCATAACCCACCCTTGCAAAGCTAGTGAACGGCGGCCGAGCAGTCGGGCAGCTCCATGTGAGAAGCGTTTTTGACTCAGAGATTCCTGGTCCTTGGTCCAAACCCCAGGCAGACTTGCTTTGATGGAACAGGGGAAGGGGAATGCCGCGGATAAGTGGGGAAGACGTAAGGTTGTGTTGGGTAATGTTGGTAAGGTTGTGAATGGGTTATGATGAGGGTAATCCTGACTCCTTCTCTTCCTGTTTTGGAAAAGAAAGTGTTGATGCAGCTTTTTAAGAAAGAGCCAGAAGTCTGTAACATGTAGCCTTATCCTCATGCCCATATGTTATTTAACTTCTTTCGACTTTTCCCCATTTGGAGCTCCTTATGCTCCCCTTTTACTCTTTTAATCCTTTCTCCCAGTCATCTCACCTTTTTTGTTCTGTCCCAACAACAGGTCTTTTGGGGCCAGGAACACCTGAACTGCCTGAAGCTGATAGAGGAGCACCTCCGTGCCTACTTCCACCTGCAGAAAGGGGATTCAGCTGAAAGCTGTGCTAAAGGCAAGGCCTGCCACACCCAGCCACCCCCGTCTCCAGGCTCTCCCTCTCCTCGGACAGAGCACAGCTCAGATGACTTACGCACAGGACGTTTCCAGTATATCCAGGACTCAGGTGAATGTCAATGTGCTGTATGTTGATCTGATGTAGAGATGATGTGCGGCTCATAGAACAGAGATTGAAATGTAATAATAATAGTAGTAATTGTTTCTTGATAACTTTCGGTCCATAGGATAAACAGTAACAATGGCTGTTTATTCATATATTCGTGTAAGTGAGTTGGACAAACTAAAAAAAAGAGCTTTTGTGACAAAGTGAGATGTCACTTAAGATACACATCGACTTAAATCAAAGTCAGATCAAAGCCCTGTGTGAAAAGAAGTTTCATCAGACATGTCTGCCTGTTTCCACTCTGAGTAACATGGTGTTTATTCCCTCTCTTTGTGCTTTGTGTGCGCTGTCCTTTAGACACACACAGCAACATTATACACAGAGGATCAAACTTCTCTCTGGCTGTAGACCAACCGTCCACTCTGTCAGCTGTGGTTGAGTCTTTGTTTGTTGCACTGTTCAACTGGTCTTTGATGCATTTAATATTCTGGCTAAAGCAGAAAAAAAAAGTACAGTAGTGAACTAGAACCAAGAGGACAATCTGTCTGCAACATGTTGTCCAACTGGGCCCCAGAGCAAAGAGACCAGGAAGTGCCGCTCCCCAGGTCTGACAGGGATAGATGGGGTAGATAGACAGGAAGAGTAAATGAAAGCTTGGTGGAAACGAGGGCACAATGAGTCTCTAACCCACTTTCTCTCAGTTGAAAGCAAAACCTCATGAATGTATCTGCCTGTTCTTTCATCTGCCCTTTTTGTTGGAGAACAATATGCTGTCCACCTCTAAGAGGGCACAGACAAGAAATGGTTTTATACAAAACCAAAAGTTTCAACTTGTGAAGCCCTGGAACCAAACAAAGCAGAAATTCTCTGCTTGACTGTTTTTTTTTTTTTAAATAAACATTTTTCCAAAGGACTTGAATCCCAAGCAGCAGCCTCAAAGTGAGTCAAAACACCACTCAGAGGTTTAGATCCAGCGTTCTCCAGCTTTTGCAGGTGCTTGGCGTGGTTCAATCAATGGCCGTTTACTCAATAGCAAAAATGTTTACTTAGCCACTCTGTTTATGAAGGGCTCCTTATGCATATAAACACTCAGAAAGCATGGAAACATCCACAGCAATTTCTGAGGCAAAATTGTTTTGGTAGTTTCAGATACCATAGTACAAATAACCATACAAACATTGCTACACAAAACATGGATACAAGTTAAATATAGTCCCTTTGAACCAAAAGGAGAAAAAGTGCAAAGAATGCTTTTTTTTAACCTATGTTTCAGGGGGGAAAGAGGCCACTCTTATAATTGTTCAATTCAGTGTATCAGCGGGGTTTTGCCCCAGAATCGTTTTCTGCCCCTTGTTTACTTTTTGCTGTTTTAGTTCTGCCACTTTTTTTCTGTTACTCGTCATGTGTTTTCTCTTTTTAGTCTGTAAGTCTTGCTCTGAGGTATAACCACAACAGAAAATCACTGACAAATTAAATAAAATCCTGTTTTGTTTTGTTTTGTTTTGTTTTGTTTTGTTTTGTTTTGTTTTGTTTTCTTTCCTCGCAGCTTCACAGAGACTGCCAGGTCCACATGAGGTGGTGTTTTACAGCGAGACAGACGATACCCCAGGGGTGATGTTGTGGAGATACCCAGAACCTCGTGTCCTTACCTTTGTCAGGATAACACCTGTTCCCTTCAACACCACAGAAGACCCTGAGATCAGCACTGCAGACCTGGGAGATGTCTTGCAGGTAGAAAATGACGCCCGGGGTTTGAAACCAGATCTGACGAGTGACGTTCTCAATCAAAGAGATAGCCTTTTGCATAATACTTAGAATAACCAAAGTTTTCAAAATAGGCATCCAATGAGCCCACAAACCCACCAGGAAAGGTTTTTCACAGAGGTCAGTGCAAGTGACATTTTCCTAGAGACTTCTACAGGACCAGAAGTATTTTTTCAACTGTAGGCTTTACCCCCTGGTGGCCATTAGAGAGAATGCGGGTATAAGGCACTTAGCATTTGGATTCTCTCTTCATAGCCGTTCCTCTTATGTTATGTTATATTATGTCCCTTCCATAGTATATAGAGAGTATATGTCTTATATGTCTGCCTTTACTCCAAAACTCCAAAAAAGCAAAGAACAGTGATGCATTAACCAATCCATGGTCCAGCTCATTGTGCTGATGCTATAGTCAGATACTAAGATGCAAGATTAGGAGAGAATCCACATGCCTCTGCCAGTAGTCTTTGCTTAACATCACCTGCACTAAAAGGGAAATAAAGCGTCGTAGAGCTGGACCGGGGGGGGGCCTTGTAATTCCCTTGACATGAGTCATGAGAACTCCTATACACTGCATGTTATTGAATGACAGAGACCCCTGCTGTCTTTCCAAACATGTAATACATGGTCAGACAGCTGTGGAAGTCATCGTGCATGCTCTGGTGTGAATAGCCAGGTGTCTCAAAGCACAGATGAGGTTATATTTTGGCAGGGTGCAGCAGCTACCGAGCCTTCGGGGCCTCAGTGGGGGACAGGACATCCCACTTTTCCTCCTATCACTCATTTCCCCATCCTCTCTTTCCCCATCCTCTCTTTCCAACTTTTCATTCTTAAAGAAAAGATTCATCCCAAATTGTGTTCTTTTGCATCCTCCTCCATATTCTCTTTTTTTTTCTTGAAACAGAAATATGACATTTTTCCGTGCCTCATAGTGTCATTGCAACAGTCGGTTGGATTTATATTTTTGACCATTCCTTTAGGAATTGAATTTGTGGGAACAGAACATGCAAAACATGTTTTGTCACCCTCTCTTCTTAGCCCAGTCAAAGCCATCTGTGTTTGGTCTGATTTTATTTGAATGGCCTTGTTATTGTGGTTTTAAATTCAATTGTGTGACTGAGAAGCAGCTGTATAGCGACTGATAAATGATCTACCGCTAGATTCTCAAAATATGATGCAAGGATGGGTCAAGTACATAAATACAGACAGCCGATCAAAGATTACATTATTGTAACAACAGTTTAGCATTAGTTCGTGATGGCTATAACATTGTAAGTGTACAAAGTTTTACTATGACAAAATAATTCCCAACTGGCTTTTAGCTTTTTTTATTCAGTTTGAAGCTTTGGGGTTGGATGCCCCCGTCTTTTCCTTCTCCTATTTTTCTCCGGCTGCAGCATAGGTTTCTCATCTCCCCATCTCCTCTCTTTATCTTTCACATTCTTTCCTGAACTCCCATAGCCATTTCACCTACAGTACAGATTCTGTCTGTTTATGTGTGCTGGCCCAGGAGAGGAAAGATTTTGGAAGGTGCTGCAGATGTCTGACTTTCAGCGAGGCCCCACAGCTGTAAAGTCTGTAATGAGCAAAACTCCTGAGCAAACCCTCGAGCTGATTGGCCACATATTGAGTTACAGTAGAGAATAAGAGGGAGCTGATGTGTGTAGAGGAGAGAGAGTTGGAGGAAGATGTGATGATAGAGTTGGGATTGGGGGAGGGGTTATTGTGGGTGGAGGAATAGGAAAGAATATTGAGTGAAAGGGGGTTAAAGAAATATATATATATGACCATAGAGGGGGTGGTGTCTTCTGCAGTTCTGATAATGCCTACAGAAGCCTCAGTGTGACAGGATCTGTGTGACAATGCTACACTTTCTCTACTCCAAGGAAGAGGATGTTGATTATTTAGCAGCTGCTGGAAATGACAGGCAGGCAAAAATGAACTGTACGTCCTTCCTGATGTATACTCTGCAAGATAATGCGTGTTACTATTACACATGTGTCCTGTGCACAGAAAATGCATTTTCAGATCACATTTACACAAATAACACTGATTCACAATGTGTTGTGAGCCACTAGGACAGTAGTATATCAGATGTCAATAAGAAGCATGCATTTACGTCTGCATTGCTACATATGTCTGTGCCAGTACGTAAAAGATAATGCCTGTGACTACAGACATGTGTATTAGAGTTGTGTGTATTACACAGCAGGAGTTATGGAACCAGTGGTTGATGAACATATGGTTTCCACATCTTCCACTCTGCTCCTCTTCCCCTGTCATGTGGCATGGTCCTATCTCTTCTGACAAGTCTGTTAAAAGGAATCAGGTGTTGAGGCTACTGCAGGGATAGTGGTGAAAAGAGGAGGCCCCAAGCACACAACTGTTGTTAAAACTCCTTCATGTGGGGATTTGATGCAACATCTGCAGAGAAAAGCAATGGAAGCCATTGCATTTGACAAGTTAGAGAAATCTATAAAGCACATTGTGCAACATTAGTTGTCTTCTATTAGAAAGGACTAGAACTTGTAAAACTGCTGAGCCAGCTGTAAAGGATCAAAAAGTAAGCAGTGAGTCTCTGCTGTTTTTGTGTCATCCATGTAAACGATGCTGCAGCATGTTCATAGAGCAATGGGTCTGGCTGCTGTAGGACATAGCACACAATGTGTTTGTTTGTTTAAACTGATTTAAATTTGGTGTTATGCTTATTATGTTTCGCTATTCCTGTACGTTTTTGAACACTGCTAAATATGTTGTTGCTAAACTAGACGTGAAAGTAATTCTAAGATATTGGATATCTGTTTACAGATAAATTACATTTACGGTTGTTATTTTAACTGAAGTTCTTGGTCATCAGCCAAACTTATTGCAGTCCCAGGTTTGATTAATTGTAGCCCCAGTGACATAATGGTAATGCGTTGCCTTTTAGGAAACATCAGCGGTCTCGTTTAATTCGCTTTTTTAATTCCTCCCAGGACCAGAAAGAAAGTCCAGCTGAGGGGAACGGAAATGCAGCCATAAAACTCCAAAACACAGTAATGGCTTAGTTTGTATTCCAAAGGAATTTCATTTACTTTACATCAAGACTGAAGAGAGAGAAAGAGAGAGGGAGAAGGCAGTCATAATTTCTCAGGCCTCTAAAATTACCATGTGGCTATGCAGAGATGGAGGCTGATAGATTTTGAGAAATGGAAAGTGAGAGGCATAGGGAAAGAAAAGAAATAAGTAGTTATGGGCGAGTGATAGTCAGCATTAAGCTGTGTGTTCATTCCTCTCTGTCATTTATGAAGTCATTTTTTTAAACATATCAGCAGGTGGACAGGGGATGCATGTAAACAAAATAAAAATAGGTTTTCCGATCGGTTTTCCTCACTCCCCCCCTCCTTTTGTCACACTCCCCCCTTGCTCCTTTGCTTTAGTCCTTCCCCACTTTCCCCTGCTCTTCAGAATAAATGAAGGGTTGTACTGGCGTGGGGGGGGGGGATGCTCCTGCTCTGAGCCTTGCTGCTCGCTTGTCCCCAGAGCAGATCATATTAACATTTTATAAAATCAAGATTTCCTGCATTTAAATAGTTGTGGTTTCCCAACTGGTTCCAGTATCTCAGAGGGGGAATTCAAACCTCCTTCCATTACTCAAAGTCAGATTGCTGCCTGAGTTGTTTTTACGTACGGTTGAAGGGGAGCAATGTCAGAATTTGGTGGTTGGTTGGGGGGGGACTCTTGCCGCTGAAAAGCATCTGATCCCTAATGGAGCATCCGCAGGTTCCCACCTGTAGAGTGCCGAAGCAATGAACCGATGATAAGAGAGAAAGGTGACTCATTGTCACCTTCTTGTTACATGCAGTCAGTTCTCTGAATCATAAGCAGGTGTTCGTCTTGCTCTCTTTTCTGTCCATCCTGTTCGCGTTCCCCTCCTCCTGCTTCTGTGGGGCCTGGGAACCATGGAGCAAACACAGGAGCTATGATTCAGCTTGACCCCAGCTCAGGGGAGCTGGAGGAGATGGAGCATGTTAAAGCAGAGAATAAAAGTTCTAGTTCAGACACAGCATCCAGTAAAGTAAATGTAACAGAGTCTCGTCTCATTCAATTGCCTTTTGTCCATGCCGACTTTTCACAATATGCAATTGTGTTACTGTGATCATCCACTCTCTGTTGAAGGAAGTTGCCCAAATTACTCTGAGTTTATTAAAAAAATCACACCATCTGCTCCCCTGCTGTTTGCGTGCATGGCGTTGTGGGGATAGCCTTTCATGTCCCAGCAGGCCTCCGTTATGCCATCGTGGCCCCTCTGGCCTGCGAGCGGTATCATAAAAACACTGCAGCCTGAGATGAGCCACCAACCTTCAGCCATAACTTGTTTTTGTCGTTGTTAATGTTATATGAAACACAGGTCCACCATCAGCTTCACATCTGTGACACGCCCTTTCCGCCGATGCACTCGTTCTCTCCAATGAATAGAAATGTTGGAAGGTAAAACAACTGGGTGTTTTACTTCAGAGCGACACATTTACCCAGAAATAGTGAGGTGGAATTTTAGCCAAGGTAACTATTATTGTAGCAGGACAGTGCTCAAGCGGACCTGCATTAGTCACAGCTAATGCACTATAAAAATAAAAGACTGTCCATGTGGTTAATTTGATCTGGAGTTTTTGCACCTCATCCACTAAAATCTCCAGTCCCCCTATAAGAGTTTGGCAGAACAGAGTAAAAACACAAAAAAAGAGTGAGCATGAAGATCTCTGCATGGGCTTATTCCTGATTTTCCACACTGATTAATGTTAACATATATCAGCCCACCTGAGACAGCATAGCAGGAGTCATTTTCATTACAATTTTTATTACATCTCTTGAATAAACATTTGTTCAAGCTGATGTCAATTCAATTTGTCTGCTGGCTGATAAGAGGTAGCAAGCAGTGGAATTTTTAGACATATAGGCATCAGTGAAATAACAGAAGACCTAATAGCTCTGTTGATATTGTTAATAAAAGTAATGGCAGACATGGCTGTGGATGTCAGCAGCCACGGCCCCAGAGCGAGCTGAGGGAGTCTTCAGTTGCACAGACATACTTGAGAATTTGTAGCAATCACACCTGGGTTGGTGATGGAAATTGACTTAATTTCTGTATGTTGTGTATTTGCTTTAGTTTGCCTGCCTTTAGTTAACCTTTAGAGAAATTGAGGTTGTGCAGTCAGACTGAGAGAAGTACAATCATGTAGAGAACAGTCCCGAGTTCTCAGAAACAAAGGTGAATTATATGAATGGAAATATCATCCATACATGCACAATGCTGCCAGCACTTCTGAATATAACATTTGTAAATAGTTTTAAAAAAGTGCTTAACATGTAGTGTTGTGCAAATGTCTTGAGTCACGAAAATGTGAAATGGGTGCAGTGACTTGTTGAAACATCTGCAGACATACATGGAAATACAGCACTTTTTTGTAGAAGGCAAAAGCAGAGTTTATACAGGTCTAACAAGCTTGAAAGTCAATATTTGGTATGAGCATGTTTATTGTTTCACACAGTCTGAACTCTCCGAGGCAGTTTTCTTGTCATTTCTTTAAGCAGTCTTCAGGAATAGTTCTCCAGGCTTCACAAAGGATATTTAGAGGTCTTCTTTGGATGTTGGCGGCCTTTTGTTCCATTCTCTATCAACATGATCCCACACTGCTTCAATAATATTGGGCTCCAGGCTCTAGGGAGGCCAGCCCATGACTAATAGGGTTTCACTGTGTGTTGTGCTGTCCAGGTATGCTTTTACTCCATTGGCAGTGTGAAACCGATGCCAATCAGAGTACGTTCCAGTAACATCAAAATCAGATGATACTTTTCCATTAATTTTAACACAACCTTCAACATCCCCCACCTGTGTTTTACAGATGGCTGTAGACACTCACAGTTGTACCTCTCGCCTGACCACCTCCTCACATACTGACAATGATTTGACTCAAATTCAAATTTGGATTCGTCCATCAGACCTGTTGCCACTGATTTTCAGTCCAGTTCTCTTGTGTATTGTGGCATACCTTAGCATTTTCTCACTGGATTTGCACCCTTCCACTGAGACCATTACTGATGAGATTTTGGCAAACAGTCGATGGATCGACTGAAAATCCAGACGCATCTCTCAGGTCCTGTTTCAGATCTTTGCTAGATTTTTTCACTATTTCTTAACAAGATGATGTTTAGATGCAGTTCATCTGCTGTAGATAGTCTCTTAGGCCTGGCTCTTCTTTTTTTCTTCTCCTCTATTTCTTCAGTTTCCTCGGATGTTTTAAGGATATACTGCATAGTTTCCAGCTACCAACGCTCATCTTATTGGTGGTATTATTTTATTTCTGTCAAACTTTGTTATCTGTAGAATTTTTCATAGATTAAACTAAAGAAATGCAAACAAATTATGTGTTTTTGCAATAAAAAAAAACAAGTGCCTAAATACAATTTAAAATGGTCTCGATAAGTTTTCTGTTACTGGTTCATCATTTGAGTTAGTTGCCGTTTTCTTTTAATCATTAAGTGATTCATGGGTCAATCTTAAATGTCTCAACCCAAAATAAAAGGTCAGGTACTGTATAAAGACTGGACTAAAAATGATTTAAAAAGCAGAAAAAGGACAAAGACAAACTTTGCGGGTCTCTCAGAAAGACTAGAGAACCATTTCTCAAGATCATCTTAAATAACTACAAGAAAGTGCGGTTTCTTGGAAGCAAAATATAAAGAAATGAGGGGTGACTCAAGACTTTTGCACAGTACCGTAGCTTCTCACAGATTTAAAGCAAACCCAAAATGGAACATTAAGTTGGAATTTAGGATAGCAGATCGTTTTTTGGCGCATGTTTTGCCCGCGGTCGTGGTGCCAGGCCTACTCTGTCGAGTTCTTGTGGAAAACACAATCTCGACCCATGCAGCCAAGGGAATGTCAGCTATTCAGGGTTACATGTTGTTTATCAGATAAGATACACACACAATCAGGCAGCGGAAACTGACACTGCCCAGACTGTATGATACGCTCACATACATACGCACACCTGTGTATACACATACGTATACATGCATATTCTCTTTCATATGTACAATTATACATCGTTTTCTTCTTGAACACATATACACAATCCATTTGAATTATACATAGGTGCCTTCTCCTCCTGAAAGCAAGTGCCAGATGTTCAACTTACACATTAAGAAAACTCCTTTTTTCCTCTTTCCGTCATTCTGACATTTTTGGATTTAGTTATCGATTTCATCTCGACGTTCCTCCAAAGTTGCACCACAAGTGAAGGGGAACATGACGTACATTCAACCATGCAAATGTATTCTACTGTACCATATATATACACCTCATATATCCCTTTCTGCATGCCGTCATGTGTATAAAATATCACAGGTGAAAAAAAAAAAGCACGCCTGGTGTTTTAGCAATGCATTTCAGGGAATTCTCCGTGGAGATTCAGCGAGTTTCCGCTCCAGTGGCTCAGCGTTGGGGGTTGCGGGTGCACAACTCTGTCAGGTGCAATTATGAGAAGTTGATTCCAGGAAAACCTGTGTGACATTGATTATATGATGTAAGCTACAGTTACCTCATCCATTCCTCTGTAACAGTACAGCCCTGCACATGAATATATGGATGCATGCACACATTTTGTGAGCACAAGGCTTCTGACACACACAAACCTGCTGACAGTTCCAGGAGTTTGGTAATTGTCTCAGGAGTTTCATGCCTCCGGTAAACAAGTGGACTGTCATATGTGACATATGCACACCGACAGTACTAATGCACCCAAAGCATACACGCGCATTCCTCAGTTGTGTTCACATTCAGTGCGCTGCCACTACTGATCCATCAGTAGCCAATATCTGCAGGTGCTTGGTTTCGCTGAGGATACCAGACACCTTTATGTTAATTTTGGTGCAGTGTGAGAGAAATGAATGGAGCCCTACCAGTCGTCACATCAATGATATTCAATGTGAAAACACTCAAAAACTGATTGTTATTCAATGTGAGAAACGGCTCCAGGACTTCAATGCTAATGGCCGTCTTGCAGCATGCTGTTGCTGGGTGTTTAGTTATGCTGTGGTCGTGAAATGTTGTTATGGAGATGAGTTGTCAGCTTGCTGTGTTGGTGGTCTGTGGTCAAAGCGCTGTCATTTTTTCCAACTAGACGAGAGATTAAAGATCGGTTGTGTCTGAAGTGAGTAAAATTCAAGGTTGAAATGCACATGCCATAAAAAGAAATCACTTGCTCATTTGTTCTCTGAGATGGGGATTCCCCATGCCTTTTAAGGGTCAGTAAAGAATCAGTGGTTAATGATTAGCAGACTACCGCTGTAGCTTAATGCGCAGCTAGGGGATCCACAGAACAGAAATATTACCTGTTATCTCACAGCAAATGGTTAATTAGTTTAAGTCTGGGCGTGGCTATATCTATTGGGACCGCTTACACTGTACATTTCATTCACCTATAGTTCATTCCATACTCTATTATAGTACAGAACTAAATCAAGGATGTTTTATCCTAAATTCCAACTGTTCTGTTCCATAATAGCAGACTAAACTTTCCCAAAAGTTTGAAAAACAGCTAGTGTGTGTAGGGATTTAGGAGCCAACTATGTAATGCTTAACAAATACCAAGAGATTAAAAAAACCAGAGCTGAAACTGTTAATCCTCAGTCATAATCTCTGGGTCTCTTCCACAGCATGTCTTTTGTCCCGTCTTCCTTCTCTCACCCCAACTGGTCCTGGCAGATGGCCCCGCCCCTCCCTGAGCCTGGTTCTGCCAGAGGTTTCTTCCTGTTAAAAGGGAGTTTTTCCCTTCCCACTGTCACCAAAGTGCTGCTCATAGGGGGTCATATGACTGTTTTTCTCTGTATGTATTATTGAAGGGTGTACCTTACAATATAAAACACCTTGAGGCGACTGTTATTGTGATCTGGCACTGTATAAATAAAATAGAATTGAATATCCTGGCTCCCTGAGATGGCTCTCAAAACAATTGAACACCTAAACTCAAGTTTTAAGTGTCCTTCTCAAGAGGAGGCCAAATGGAGGATTAGTTAGTTAAATGCTTTTATTAAATGGATCAAAAGCAACTGTTTAAGAGAGGAATCTGTGGCATTCATCTGCAATAGAAAAAATTATATATAACGAGGTCTCACTTGATTGTGTGCCCAAATTCAATAGCCACAATAAGAAATTAAGTTAGTATTTTTAACAGAAAATTGCTCAGTATAACTGTAATGCTATAAGGAAACCCAGAGGGTTTCGAAAAAGCCTTGTTGGTTATATAAGTCCTCATGATGTCATTGTGAAATGTGTTTCCTCACAGTTTTGTCAAAGCTCTGAACTACCTGCGATAGTTTTAATTTGTGAGTAGTACATACAGGCTGGCTGTATGGGGGCAACAGGAAGCAAAGAATGATTAAAGAGTCCAGAAAGTTCCAGAAATCTCAATTTCTACAAGCGCTACGATATATATATATATATGTATACTTACATATATTTACTCTATTTTTTTCCTTACTTTGCTTTCAGGTACCATGCAGTCTAGAGTACTGGGATGAGCTCCAGCAAACCTTTGTTCCATATCGGGAGTTCAGCCTATCAGAGAGCTGTGCCTGCCAGCTGCAGTTGCCCAGCCTCAGCCTCACCAACCAGCAGAAGGAGCTGGTGGCCTCAGACCTGTGGAGGATAGTACTCAATCATAATGGAGATGGAGGAGATGAACAGAGGTGAGGAAATTTTGCTTTAACTGTCCATATGAGAGCATGTTTATGTCTACACACTGGTATGTGTGTGAACCTACAGACCGTGTGCCGTCCTGTTTGAGAAAAAACAGAAGGAGAGTGCACCCAGGCTGCTGAGCACAAAGAAGTAGAATGTATCCCTCGCCCCACATCTGGTGTGCAGGAGCAGGGAGCGGGCTTGGAAGGCGTTCAGATCGGCCTAATGAGATTTCCCAGCACACCAAGTGCCTGTCAGGGCCCATCCGGATTCCTTCCTGCTTACCTTGAGTGTATCTAATCGAGGGGAAGCTCACGGGAAGCGAGAGTAGTCAGGCCCCCTTTGGCTCATACGTTCTTAGGCCTGGCCTGGCCTGGGCTGGGCAGGGTTGAGCTAGGATGGGATGAGTTGGACGATTCTTGCAAGATACTATAGCACCCCAAAGAGCGTGCTTTTACTCCCTGCCACCGCTTCCTCTTTTCATTACTGTTACATCTTCCAACCTTCATCGATTTTTCTTTTTGTTCTTTTTTCTTTCCTTCCTTCCTCGTCTTCTTTTAACCTCTTTTTTTCTTTTTCTCTCCCCTTATTTACTTCCATCTGGGATTTAGGGAACTTTTAGCGGAAGAGCGTTGCCGAGCCCACATTCTGTGTGGCTTAGAGAGCTCGAGAAAAACAGAGAGGAAGGAATAAGAAAACATGTAAGAAAAGCAACAGAAAAAATCTTCAGGACCAGATACTGTGTAAAGCAAAATATACATCTGTATTTCATTACAATCATATTCCGAACACTACATTTCCTTTATGTTTAAATTATTTGTCTTTTTTGATCAAAATTGATCCCCCTTTCCTTACTCCCTCGTTTCATCTGCCTTACTTTAGTTTCCACCAGAAAAATAACTTGGCTGCCCTGCCAACTGGAAGTAATGAAAATTGTCAACATATGATGCTTATCTTTTTAAGGAGTACTCTGCTTGCACCAGCATTTTTCAGGTCTTGAGCGTTTCCTGCTGGAGTTTTTATGGTGGATCATGGTAGCAGCAAATTACAGAGCAAATGGTCATTCACTTCAATTACCTTCCATTCAACATCATCAACCATGACATGCAATTAATGTCCACGGAGGGCTTCTCCTGGAAACTGCATGTGTAATAATGTTCCTAACAGCGAGGAAGCTCTTTCACATTTCACCTTATTTCATTTCTTTTTTTTTGAATTCTCAGTAACTGTATGGCTGGTCTCAGTGTGCTTCCTGAGATGGATGTCACACAATTTGTACACAAACACAAAAGCGTTCCACTCTTAATAAGAATCAGATTATTTTAATAAGTCCATTGGTTTTCCTTTTTTTTCTTCTTTTTTTTGTGACCATTATTTCACAGCTGGGCCATTGCTTTTGTTATTTTAAAAAAAAAAACAAAGTTTGATAGAAAATCATTTACTGTTTTCTTTAAAACTGTCAAGTACTGAATCCCAGTCATATATTAGGATCTTTTTCTCGATATTATTTCCGTATGGAATCATTTTATATTCACAGGGCGCTGTCAGTTTAAAATTTTCCTCATTTATTGCAGTCTCTTTAATGATCGTTTGTAAATCTTGTCGGCTTTCTCTATCAACATTTCCCTTCCAGTTCAGATAGTGACTGTGGGTCCCAGTTACCCTGCGATCAGCTGGTCTCTCCGATTGCACTGGCAGCCTGTACCCGAGTGGACTCGTGTTTTGCACCCTGGTTCGTCCCGTCCCTGGGTGTGTGCCTGCAACTAGCACACCTGGAAGTTCACCTCTGTCATCACCTAGAACAGCTGGGTACAGGTAAGATTTGTAATATATCAAAACAAAATCTCTTCCAAGTCTGAAGTATATTGGGTTTAGTAAGAGGGATTACCTAGGTGTTCGAGAAGTTGACTTCCAAAAAACTCTACCTTTTCTTGTTCTGTGTTTGATCTCTCATGGTAGCAGTAAAGTACACTCAGATATCATCTGTTACCTCAGCAGCCCTCAGTTTGATTGACAGCTTAAGTGTCCTTTTTCTTAATGGAATTAATTGACCTCTTGTTTAAAACTCACATCTGTTCACATGTGGATTTAATTTACATTAATCCATTTTGTGTTTAATCTTTGTTACTTGTTTCAGTATATTAAGTAAAAAAAATTATGTTTCTCATTCCTCCAGCTCCATCTCGGCAGCTTCATCCCTTCCTGCCAGACCGGAAATTACCTCAAGAGCAAGAGTTCACGGGGATAGGTGCTCGGCAGCCACGAGTCTTCTTGCGACAGTGGAGCTACGGACCACGTCATTGTCAGGAGTTCAGTTTTTCCTCTCAGCTAGATTGCAAGCTGTTGGAGTACCGAAACTTAACACACCTTCAGCTTCTACAGCCGTGTCTATTACAGGTTGAGCTCAGCTTTTTACATTGTTCTTCTGTCTTTACAAAAGCTTTTTTCCCCCCAAACGTTGATATTCATTTGTTTTCATTTGTATTTCAGGGCCAGGCTACAGCAACCTGTTGCCCCCAAAACACCTCTTTTGATGTGAATGTGTTTGTGGATCCAGTGGCACTTAATGTCAGCCAGTATGCCATCCACACTGTAGACACTGCCCTGCACAGCTGGCAACAGGTAACTGCAACACTCCTCATATACTACACCGGATGTTTCAGCTGCATAACAGACATATTCCAAAGAATAAAATAAGAATCAATTAAAAATTTAGCTTAATTGTTGATTATAGATTACTGATATTGCTTTTGGTGATTAAAAATATTTCTGAGGGTTCTTAAAGCAGAAGTTATCATTCAGTGTCTCGTCTATTGTACTTAAAGCTAGTGTTGAAAGCAAAAGAGGTTACATTTTCTTATGGGAAATTTTTATAGCCAAAATTTCACCACTGCAAGAGGAAGTGGCTGCGACCAAAGGATTAGTGATACGATGGCTTTGGTTAGAACATGTTGGAGGATGATTTTTTTCACTTGTGTATTTAATCAGTTTGGTGCATTCAGACATTTAAATTAACAAGGGATTTCCCCTGATGTTTGATTCTAACATTAGCGTAGGGTTATTTGATTTAGAGCCAGGGACTAGTCAGTCTGTAGAGGAAATTCTAGAAAATGCATGTACATTTAGAAACTATGCCTTTGTCCCAGATGGAGTATCAGCTAAACAAACTAATAACGAAGTAGATTTCATGAGAATGGTTTTGGTTGGATGCCAGTGGTAATAAAATTTGCAGGATGGAACTGCCTTTGTGTTTGGTGTAAACTCTGACTAAGTGTGTCTGTTCTTGGGCTTCTAGTGCTTCTATGGTCCTCGTCATCTCTCAGTTCCCAGCTCTCAGCACTGCCTCTGGTAGCCAGGATATTTGTGTGTGAAGTGATGCCCATTAAAACATGGTAAAACTTGAGTGGTGACACCTGCCAAGACTTCATCTGGCCCTAGTCCTCCACCCACTTGTCTATTCCACACGCACACAAACCCACACACACACACATGCTGGTTTCCCTGGCTTTGTATGTTCTATCATTGCTCTGCTCAGCTTCGCTGTGCTGACTCATATACTGGTCTCTGGAGACATGAGGCACTCTCATAGTTTTACATGCATGCAAAAACTCACTGCCAGGTGAAAGAAATAATAGTTCTTGTTTTCCTAGGAACAGCTGTGGGTTTTTTTTTACCTGCATAAAATAAAATTAGGCATGCTATATAGAAAACATAATATTAAACGATTGTTCTGTGTAGCAGTTTTAATACCTTTGTTTTCACTTAGGGGCATCACTGACTCATCGAAAGCGCTTAACCGACTGTGTTAGGTTATTGGTCATATTTGACCCAATGCTTCATGATCGCATCATTTAACACAAGCTAGTTAATGTTCCCTATTTCTGCTGAGTATTTTAGTCATAAATAAGACTTGAGAGCATTAGTCTTATTAGAATGAAAGGTCATATTGCAGCTTTACTGGAGTGTTACAGACATGTTGGTATCCGTGCTGGGCTTTACCCAACATGCCAAGCGTGATTACTTGGGTTATTAGTTGGTCTTATGATCTCAGGCGCACCTCATTTGATACTGACTGTGTGAATGCTATCTTGGCTCAGCGACTTAAACCCCCAAACCGAGCTTTACAATGCATACACACATAAATGTTGGCTTTAAAGACTGACTTAGTCAAATACAAATACTGAACTCTGCATCTACACGTTCATTCTTAAATGATTAAGTTTGCTGTGCTGTCTTTATTGGTCTACACAGCAGCAGCCTTGTAACTTCTACAGAACCTTTTAACTACCTCTAGCCTTCACCACTTTGCTGAACACAAGGGAAAAACACTGTAATTATAAGGCAAATGTGCTGCATGTGGCTACAGTAGTTCTGGAGTAAGGGGGTAGACAGAGGTCAAGTTTGAAAGGCGGATTCTTGAAAAAAAAAGTTCTTGTCCACTTCAGAAGATTTGAAAACTTCCTTGATAATGGAGCATTGTTTCCATTTTTGGGGTTTCCAGTGAAACAAAGTCTTGTATTTGATGACAGAACCATTTATGGGTGCAATTAACCCTCTGACTGGTGAAATCCTGCACTGTAGGGAAAGATTCTTTAAGATAACATAAGATTTGATTTGATAGACATTCTCTTTGCCCATATTATCCATGTATGGAAAAACGTGAGCCAAGCTAAAGTGTAATCAGGAAGAGTCAGAAATATTAAGAGTGTCTGTCCTTCTACAGCAGAGGGAGGTTTCCTAATGTGTGTAATTATTTCAGTGATTTTCATGTTTCCTTGTGTCAAGGCTGGCAGGCAGGCCTGTTGTGATGTGGCCTGCGGGGTTAGCATCGAAACATAGAGAAGATTCTTCAGCTACAATTGAAACCTCATAACCCAGACGTGGTCATAGGAGACCACCGCAACCAGAACAGCTGGAGTACTTCCAGATGCATAGCACTCGAGTGTAGTACATGTTTGTGATTTTCACTCATTTAGCAATAGTC